TCATCCTGGTGACAGGATATGGAATGCGCTGTGTACATATTCAAAGAGGCAGCGCTTTGGGCCTAATACCCACTGATGAAAGAGAGGCTTCAGCACAGCCGGGCTCTGCCAGCTCGAACAAAAACACTTGTGCTTTTGTCGGCAGCGTCTCGGGCAGGAGGCGCCCCCTATCCTCACCTCCCTCCTCGCCCCCAAAGAGAAGCATTCGTGGCGCACGCCGATGTGCTGAAAGACGATATTGGCTACACCGTACCGTGAGTGACACGGATGTGTCAGTGGGAGGCGTGCTGTGCGGGGAAGGTGCTGAAAAATGAATACGGGGGAAGGGACGTGCGAGGTGTGGACAGCAGAGAGTAGCCACTGGATCTCTTTGTGTTAAGACCACGTCTGAGTGAGCAAGTGCTGGTAACAGTGTGCACACCGAGTCTGGGCAATGCAGACTCCTGCGCCAAGTATGCCCTGGTGAGCTGCCAAGCACAAGAGCCTGTTGTACTTTCCGTGCAAGTCCTGGAAGGGCTCAGCACTACCAGATCCTCTGCTCCCTCCACTCCCACCAATATCAGTGAGGAGCTGGGCAATCACGCCACCGTGCTGGATTGGGTCCCAACACAGCTGCCTCTCTACCCTTGTGGGTAAGGCAATTTATGGAGACTTGGAAGACCCGGTTTCATAGATCCCTCCATTCACCTTGTGCATCCTTTAATTTCTCAGGGCCTCAACTTCCATGTATAAAATGAAGATGACAACCTGCTTCCTTTCCCAACCTGTGTCTGTCCAGTCTATTTAGACTGTAAATTCTTCTAGATACACTGCCTTACGGTGAGTACGCACGGCACTTGGCAAAATGGGACACAGGTCTCAACTAGGGCCTATAGACACTACTGGAAGGCAAAGACCAAAATACACCCCCAGAATGCATGTGCGCTAGGGGATGCGACTAGAGCTGGTAAAATCAAAGCAATAGAAACAAATTTCTACGAATTACTTAATTTTTCTTTTTCTTTTTTTTCATCAGTACTTCTTGGCTGGTGGAAAATTTCACCCAGTTCCTACAGCTGATTGAAATACTACCATATTGTTTTAATAAAAATGTCCATTAGAAACTTGTATATGCTTTTACTTAAAAAAATTGGTTGGAACTGAAAATTTGGTAAACTCCAACCAGTTATGAGTGAAAACAGAATGCCTGATCCCCCTGCCAGCTTTTCTTTCCATGGTACAGGATGCATCATGCTTTGAAACAGCTGGTCACCACTTTGTTTCATTGCTGTACTCCACCCTCAAAGGAACTTTAGGAACCTTTTTTTTTTTTTTTTTTTTTTTTAA